GTGTTTCAGCAAAATCTATTATAAAAGATCAGAGAAAAAAACAAAAAAAGAAGACAGGGATGGACAGCTCAGAAAAAAGAAAGATAGTTTAAAAGAAATAATTCAACCTATTAACTTCTAGAATCCAATCTAAAGAATATTTTCTTTCAGTGACCTAAGGAAGCACCTAACTGAGGGAAATGCAGACTACTATCTACAGGGGCTCGAGGACCACAACAAAGGGCTGTAGGTTGGGCACCAAGGTCCTAGTGTCAAGTAAAAGATTCTCAACCAGTGTTAACCTAAATGTAACCAAAAGTCCTTCCCCAGAACCTTTGCTGTCAATGTAATGCCATAGTTTGGTATAATAAATAAGTGAGAGATACAGAAGAGTTTATTCAGACTGTGAGACAAAAGATCTTTGCAACCGCAAGACAGATGGTCTTACATCTCCAGGAGTCACAGACCCCGGACCTTGCCTGGTCCACATACATGCAATAAAGACAAAAAAGAGTCCACATTTCTCTCTGCTCAATCTCAGGTTAAATCTGTAAAAATAGTCCACTACTTTCAAATTACTAATGAGAGGAAATCCTGATGTAACCTTCATCCGAGTGCTTCCATATTTTCCCTTAAAGCTTACCTTATCGATTTAACCTGCTCATGAAATCTGACATTGTGGTCCAGCCAAAAAATACAATGATTATGTAAGAGAACCATTTAACAATTTTTTACTAGACTTCAGGCTGCCAAGCACTGCAAGAAACAGCAGGCAAGGCATATAATGTGTAAGATTTGTCTTGACTTATGAATGGATATAGCTAAATTTTATTGTTAGATTTAACATGTTCCTATAGTTTTTCCTTATGTTTTTAGTCTATTTTGAAAATTTCAGTTGGCACAATATTGAAAATAATATTTAACAGGAATGATGCACTGCATAAAATCACTTGAACCTCAACTAACATATTTCTGCTACAATGCATTATTTTCCAAAGCCAGACCTTATATTTGAGGGCTGGTGCAGACCTGGGCAATCCCGGGACGCACGATCATGTGTGTGTACACAGCGGGTTGCTGCGCGGCCCGATTGATTTCAATGGGGTTACATCTGCACGGCAATCGCTGAAAAAAGGTACAGGTACCTTTTTTGCGACATGCGACTCCGTGCCTCTTTTAAATGTTTAATCGCGCCGGCGGAATCATGGTGGGAAACCGCACGATCCCCCTGGAACGACTGGGGTGCCAATAGAAAAGAATGGCACCTCCAGTGTGATCAGCGGGGATGTGCGACTCTGTGACTGCATGGAAATCCACCCAGTTTCGTGCACAATAGTTGCACGGTCACAGATCGTGCAAGTGTGACCCTGGCCTAAAAGAGCTATGCTCAATGAACAACGGTTTATCACAAGCAATACAAGAAAGTATATTTTGGCTGTGCAATCTGTTATATAAAAATCTTAGCCTTTCACCAGTCTGTGGTCTGGAGTGTGATTTATGGAACTGCGATTTAAGGAAGAGGAGAGTTTATTTACTCTAGTGAGGTCTTTCAAAGTATGCAGGGCAGGCGGCCTTCTGCCTACTGCATGTCACATAATACTTCAGATCTGTGTGACATTTCAGAGATAGACAGACAGACGGACAGATAGACAGATAGATAGATAGATAGATAGATAGATAGATAGATAGATACATAGATAGATAGAATATATTTTTAGGTGAATGTGGACATCAATTTGTATAGGATGCAGCGTATTAAAGTTGTTTCCCTATGTAAGGTCCTAGGATTGCTCTCTGTCTTCACAACTGATTTGTAAAAAAAACAAAACCCTTCACATAAGCCTAATTAGCAGAAGCATAATGCATGGGATATTTCCATTACAATGTGCTATTTGCTTTTTTATGATAGGACATTACTTTTTCGGTTCACTAAAGGCAGTACTTATCAGCAGAAATTACTTCCCTAACAGGATTTTATTGATCAGTGAGGAACTTTGACTGTAAAAAAGTCAATTTGCACAAATTGTGCCTCCTAAAAAATACCAGTAACTGTGAGTTTCAGTTATGTGTGTATTGAGGAGAGCAGGAAAAGTAGCCGTATGATTTGTATTTCTGTTCACTCAGTTCTAAGATTTACACAGCTCCGCCAGACAGCACAGTCCTGTCTGGCAGGGCAGATTACCTGATCTTCCTCTGCTGCAGTTCAGTAACACTCTGATGCCCTCTCCCTCTATCAGAATGCTCCTTGCACCGCAGTACAACTGATTGGCTCCTTGTACAGCTTCTCCCTTCCACAATCTGACATCTTTTGGACCAGGGACTGCAAGAGGTGTATACCAAGTCATATCCAGTTACGTATACTGCTTGCTTTCAACAAAAGGCATAGTCCACCTTTAAAAAAATTAAAATAAATGCACACACATTCATGAAAGAAACAATGTGCATTTTGTGAGAAAAAAAAGTATGTCTGCAAAGCATTGCAACCGCGACCAGTGGATTGCGGGTGCAAAGCATAGTCTCCTGCAGACTAGTCCCCCAGCTCCAGGTCCGTATGGAGGTACAGACCCTAGATCATGGGACTGGAGGAAGTAATCAATAGTCTACAAGTATGGTGACGTCAATCCATTGACATCTAAGAGTCCCTCTGCTGTGCTGGCAGACAGGACTTGTAGCCTTTTCTTCCTGTGAATGAATTTGTGAATGAATGATGCCACCAGGGGCGTATTTACCGCGAGGCAAACTGGGCGTTTGCCTAGGGCGGCACCCTCCGTCGGGGCGGCTGCTCCGCTGGTGCTGCGGTACGCAAACGCCTAGCGCCGCAGTTCAGAGATAATCAACTGGACACCGCCGCAAGCCGCCCTCCTCGGCCCCGCAAACCGCCACCCGCGTCCCCGCAAGCCGACGTCCAGGTGTTAGTAAGGATTATTACAGTATTCTGCCGAGAGAACTTTACTGACTTTTTTTATGTGATTGACCTTAGAATATAATCGTTTTATTTAACAGGAAGTATAAAACATTTGTTTGATGCAACACATTTGGTTAGGTCACCTACATCATTCCAATCACTTTAAATGTAAACAAAAATTTTAAGTGACCATGTGTTCAGTTACTGACTGCTCCATGCACTATATAATGGTCTTAAAAACAATTACAAGTTTCCAACTGATCCAATTGCTGTCATTATAACTTGATAGTGATTGCATTGGTAGTAAATATCCATTGCAACATTGGAACAATTGTTTGATTGTAGAATTAGAACAATTCATATACAGTATGACCAGAATAAGCCCCTTTTACTAACTCCTCTGTGTTTGCAGATGTAAGAAGCAGATAAACGCACCAGAGAATTGACACTAGGCAGAAAATTAGACATCAGTGAATCTTTAAAGTGACATTAAACCCTCAGATTTTTTAACATAAACCAATACTGTAATGTGTGCCTTACTGTAATCCATGGTTGTTTCCCTTCTCTTTGCTGCTCTTCCTTTTAAATCCTCATGTCTTCTCATGCTTGGGGAGAACTTCCCTTTTTAGCTCAGGGCCTCTTCCTGTAGTGCTGGCTCAGGTTACAAGCCTATACAAACCTATACACAGACACCGTGTATCCATTCCTGAGACAAGGCAGTCTGCTGCAAAACAGAAGTTCTGCAGAGCATGAGAACAGATACAGATTTAAAAGGAAGAGCAGCAAAGAGAAGGGAAACAACCATGGATTACAGTAAGGCACACATTACAGTATTGTTTTATGTTAAAAAATCTGTGGGTTTAATGTCACTTTAAGCT